GCAGTAATAGCGATAGCTTGAAAGGCAAGCGATCGGAAAACAGCGGAAATCTCATTGACTCGTCAATAACAGCTTCCACTAGCCCCTTCACCGTCGAGCATCGTACTGCAAGCATTCGCTTGAACAGAATCCGAACATGCAGCAAAGCTGAGTTGCAGATAAGCACAAATAGAAAACAAACAACCAAAATTGAAAATTTAACACAGGACTTCTCTTTCGCACGACCACTTCTGATAAAGCCAGTCAATGATCGAATACCCTAACGTAATCCTGTTCAGAACTCAGTCTGAAGGGCACATACATATTGTTCGAGGCGATGGTACCATAGTCCCATGTAGGAGTTCTTGTAAAGGTCAAGAAGAATAACTCCTACACTTGGTCTTTTTAAAACCTGGGCATGTTACACTATTTCTGCAACTGCTCTTGCTCAAAAGAATCGTAGACAACAAACCCGTTTCGCACTAGAACTAGAAACTTGATAACAGTAAGTTTCATTAACTGTCGAAGATGTTGAAGATGGATTGTCGAAGTTTTCCCTCCACTAAGAAAAGTGGTGTAGTGTCAAGCAGCACACTATCACACAAGCATGGTCCGGGAATCGAATTCCGGATTGATATCTGCCTGGATCAACCAAATCTTCCATCTCTATGCGGTCTAATAATTGGTTTCCAGATTCGTTTGGGAGCATCAAAGCACAATGCAAAGACTTGTACATCTGCTGGCCACCGCAAATCATTGTATAGGCCACATACGAGTCCAATACGCCATTACGATTTTGAACGGAAGTGGAATGCGGGGGTGAACTCCAAAACGTGATGTTTCACGCCGAAGGCCTCATCCTTAACTTTACTAATAACAAAAGCCCCTCGAACTGGAGACTGAGCAAAACCTCTTAAGACTAAGAAGATGATCAGAAATTTTCCAATCCAAATCAAGAGCCAAAGCCCATGAAATTTCATTGGCCTTCATGACCAAAATATGTACAATACTGCCCTTTATTTAGGGCGAGTACGAGACGACAATCGTCGAGACTTGCGTTCTGGTTGACCGATTAAATGAGTCCTTACGCAAAATGGACGGGAATAATACGAGTCATAAGAGTTCTGAAAGGGGAAAATATTTTGAAAAAATGTCCTTCGATGGTTGCACAGTTGATTCTGGTCGTCTCCACCTGGGTGCAGTTCAGCGAACAAGCACTTACCGCTGTTTTGGGCAGTTCACTTTTTCGAAGCACCTCTTTCACAAAGGACTGTCCCTCTCAGGAGTGTACCCACTATCCAAGGAATATTTCTAGATCTTAAGCGTCAAGAACAACTCCTACGACGTGTGGGAAGCTCGTACAACCTACCTATCCCATGAACTTCAATTATGATCGGTTATGAAAGGAACAGGGAAGGGTCCTTGGCGTTATATGGACAAAAAATCTGCGAAACGATGGGATTGTTATAGATAGAGCAGAATTATAACCGAGGCAAGTGACAGATTATTGGAGCGCAATCCTACTGAACAGCTGCAACCCTGGTTAGCCACACAGATCAGCTCAGCTGCTTCTTCGCATCGAGCTAATTAATCCATATGCCAACCTAACCGCACCCATAACAACGCCAGACCTCCCATTGCTCACTCAAGTTGATCACTAGTGTAATGGCTCCCATAAACTCTATTTGAAAAACTTTACTCCACTTTTCACAATCCCTGAGAGCCTGAGCTATATTTGGATGTATGGACGAATAAAGGTGGCGAATCGGTCCGGAGGGTCTATTGTACTAAGCCGATTACCATCCGTGGCAATTAAACTTTTCCCTTTACGAGATCGTTAAGGGCCACCAAACTTGACTGAACGGCCAAAACATTTCCGGTAATTTTCTCGTTTTCGCTAAAGACGCTTGCTGGAACGATTGGTTTCATTCCGTTCTTATGCCAGTAGGGAATGTAATGTGGTGGAAATGTCATGCCATTAATAAAAGCTCCATTTGACCAAGCCCACCATCACAAGAATAATATAAAAAGTCAATTTTAATAATAAATCCTCATAAAGTATGAAAGAGATGGATGAAAAAGCTTTGGTCCAAATATCATATGACTCAAGCAAGCCAACATTGAGATCAAAAACAAATTACTGACGAATTCGAACAAAAATCTAGAGGTCCCGGGCTTGAAGCTCAAATGATATGAGAAGTTCTAAGAATCATAAAATAATAGAGCGGACGAAGCTATTCAATATATGGCATATTTTTGAGTTTTGCCTTTCCTAAAAAGGAAAAAATTAGCGTTGATGTGCGTGTTCAGGGTTTATATTCAACAACACTCCCCTTATCCCTAAAAGGGCAATACTGGGAGATAGACGTTCTGATGAGCGACGGATATACGATACCCAGGCAACGAGAGGTTAGCGAGCTTTTTCCACTTTGCCATCTCTGTTTTAGCTTCTGTCACCTCTTTACCTGAACTGAATCACCATGGAACCCGGTTCCTCAAATGAAGACAGAAACGAGTATGTACGACAGAATCATAAGTAGATTTTAGATTTCTGGCAGAACAAATTTCTTACACTATTGAGCTAACTAAAGTCTTCACATTCAACAAGTGACTCGAAAATTTTCTGCCATGAGCACACAACCGCTTCTATTCCTGGCTGACCGCACAGACTTATGAAGCGCTTCCTATCTCTCGCTCTTGCTGTGCTGGTAACACTGACACTCAGCCCTCACACTTCAAGAACTCATTCTTTTGTGTTTGCAAGCCAAGGTCTCACCAACCCGAATAAAGGCAGTGCGATATTTTTGGAGCACTAAAATAGTTCTGACAGAGCGTCCTTCGACGTTTGCGCTACACCACTTGTGAACTGGCCACGAGTGTGCTATTCGAGTGTCTTCAACAGCATGGTATTAGACAGACACCACAGGACTAGTCGATTTCAGATACCAAACGAAACTTCAGACCAAATCCATCTACTGTATAAAAAACTTGAATGAAATGCTTTCAAAATAAAAATATATAAAAAATCGCATTATATTCATTGCTACAAGATTTATTAAAGTTTCACCAATAAAATGTCGTATAAAGAACTTGACCGTGTTTACTGAGGTAGTTCAATGCTAGCGTATTATGGGAGTCTCGCCCCTTCTCTTCGCTAGTTCCTCGTTAGGCGTTACGTCTCATTGTTAGGTGGATCCCACTCATTGGCCTCCCAACTCCGCTAGGGCTCTCTCTTTGGACTCCTTATTACATTCAAATAAAATAGTTACATTTATATTTATTGTAGTAAGTCCGCTATCAATTCGGAAGCAGGAAAACTGTTCTCTATTGATTCGACTGCACCAGAACTCTGCGTTGATTGCAGCCACCAATTCACAGCTCATCCGAGCATGAAACAAGCAGTCTCGGGGCATTAACGTTAGGAGGAAAAGAGAGCAAAAACTGAGTCTGACCGCGTTGCTGTGGATTACTCATAAGCATAGAAATAATGGCTCGAGTAAGGAAGAATAAATCATATCAGGAAATAGGGTATGGAAGCAACGTGATTGAAAAAGAGGAACTGTGCACGTCAACTGAAATTACCTCGGACACCGTGTAGTAACCAAGAGCAACTGGTTCACGACGTTTTTTACTTTAGACAGAAGTTTGATTACTCGTCCTTTCAATGTTCTTCTAGCTATCTGAGCCAGTCACTTATGCATCGAATGGATCTTGCGGGTTTGTTCAATGGCTCGCTATCACGAATCTTAGTGAAACTCTCAATTTCAGCAGCCAGGAAAGCATTGGCTGAAACCGGAGAGCTGTCAGTACACACAAGCTCATCTTTTCGTGATTAGTAGCTATCCTAATGGAATATTAGGATGCCCAAAAATTTCTGAAAATCCCTGAGCATATAGTTTTTTGTCAGAATCATATGAATATACGAAAAAGCGCCACAAACACTGAATGAGCACGAAAAATATGCCCTTTTGCTCTACGACTTCCTTTACCTTTGCAACAAATACGCCTATTAGGATATGACACAGCTCGCCAGCACTTTCTTTACTGCTGCAGGGTCACTTCAGAAGAAGCTGCCTTCTAATACTATTATGATCCACTGCGTAATAATGTACCGTTCAAGCTTGCATTAGAAAGATTTTGAAAAGTGGCGACAAACACCCTCACTAAACTTCCGAGATTCGATCCCGAACCTAGCGCGTAAGGTAGTGCGCCACTTCCCTTTACATCACCTCCGCCCAATTGCCTTGCTCATTACCCAGTGAAGGAAAACGCTCATGAAACAAGTCCAAGAACTTCGTCAATGAGGAGAAGACTTTTTGAAACCGCAAATCTCCGCGCGCGGAGCCGTCGTAGGGAGAAATCCGTTTATGTTCCATCGATGGGTATAATTGGTCGTAGGCTTTGGCAACGATATCAGTCTTATGAATCGTTAGGCAACCTAATATCTCCGGTAAAACCTACAAAATGGATGAAATCTATTGAAACTATGTAAAATCTCACAATTTCAAAGGATCATGCATCACAGCACACTCGAATTTCCCCGACCTACAAAGATTCATCAAGGAATAAAGAAAAACCAAAAGGGAGAACCTGTCGGATGGCCAAGACAATGGGATGAAAGGAAATTCGGTGAAAAAACATATGAAAGATCTAGCTGATTCAGTGAAAAACGACATGATGAATGTGGTGAGCGGCATAAGGTGTCTCCGCAGCATCAGAGCCATTTCTCAATTATCCCGCGAAACATCAAATTTTCCAAATTCTTGTTTAGGAAGCGACAGAAAAAGTTTGGAACAGAAAATCGAAGGAATCCAGCAGCAGCGATTGCGTATGAACCTATTTAGTTAGACTCGATCTAATGACATGAAATGGTTCGGAAAGAGGATCGATGGCTCTCAATATCATTAAAAAGTCTTTGAAAGTACGACCGTTTCACTTGAAGAGGCACCCCGTGATTAATGATTCAAAGAACTGAAAAATAAAAAAAATCGAAAACGCAGTTGTCACAACGACCTTTGTAATCACCTTCGAAGTAAAAAANAAAAAAGACTAATTGAAAGGAATAAATAAGAAACTAACTTTCTGAGCGACTCAATGTTGGCCTTCTCGGTCTGCTCAGCTTCCTTTAACCGGGCTGCCTGAGTTTTTGCATCAACTGAATTGGCAGCGACGACTTTGCCAGCCATTCTTGCCATAGCCCATGCTTTGTTTTTAGATGAATCAGTACGAGTGCCACGGGAAGGTTCCTATTCAAAAATCGCTTAAATGACGAGCAAATCCAGTAGGAAACGAGAATGGTATCATTACCTTATAACCTTTTGTGCCTTTCCTCCGCGTACGCTTTTCTTCATTTTCATCACCGCTAATAGGCTCGTCTTCTTCTTCCGGTTTATCAAAATCAGAATCAACTTCATCTACGTCTGAGTGTACCGGAGATTCAAACACGTCATCTGTATCGTCCTGGAAAAAGAAACGTGGCCATCATAGGTATAAAGAAAAACGATATTCAATGAAACCTGGCGCTCTTTCTTTCTAGGAGAAGCACCCCTGGTCATATTTGGCCTCTCTCCTTCCGGAAAATAACCGGCTTTTTGAACCTCTATTCATTGCGAAATTGCAAAAAAAACCAACAATCTCACGACTTGAAGAACTTCATAATCTGGTTATCGACGACTTTCCGTACTTCTGCATATACAGACAACTGGTACTAAGGTTCTAATGAGAGAGGAAAGGTTAGAAACAAAGGAGATTGTGATAGAAAGAAAGGAAAAGGAGAGATTGCGAAGTAGGGCACTGGAGCCAAAAGAGACCGGTTATCGTATTGAAGCCATCACACATTACTGAATATGTGAGAATGGCACCGTAAACGGAACGTTGTCTACTCCACCGTAAAAGATCGTGGTAACAAATGTTAAATAAAGCAACTTTTACAGATAGGTCAGCCTTTTACAAAAAAAAATTATAGAGATTTTACAACCGAAGTGTCAGGGAAATTACGAAGCAACCGGCGCCATCTTAACTGCCTCATCTATCAACTTTCCGAACATGCCTACTATCGCGACTATACCGAGCACCGCACGTGAATATTTCTGCGGGTTATATATATCAAATCATGGCGATTACACAATGAGGACCGTTTCATTACCCTTCTATGAGCGAATATTCAAAAATTGCGAAAAGAAGTTTGAAAACTTACATCGTTGAAACCTCCTCCATAAGCACTTTTGTAAAATTCATCTTCCTGCGTAGTCGATTCAATCAGAGCTGACATCTTGTTGCCTGCAGTTGAACGCCTGGCACGTGCATTTACCATTAGTTCAACCTAAACTTACAAGACTTCACCTTGAAGTAAAAAAAAGTATCCCTTCTGACGTACTTTTTGACTTTCCGAGAAATCTCTTGGTAATGGTCATTATTTTCAACCTTTGCCCATGTCCACTCATTTACATTTCTACTGCACTAATCAAAGTTTCTACACGTGTGCATCCTAGACGCCCCAAGTGAACAACTCGAGATCAAAGCGGTAGGTAAGCGGCCGTAATTTCTCGAGTGATGTAGAGTGAGGAAATGGGAAAATCGATAGTGTCCTAGTCTTGATGCTTTGTTTATCGCATACCTCACTCCAAGATTAACAAGTTCCAAGAACAAAAGTCCTTGATGCTGATCGACAATACCTTTTGCAGCTCGAATCTCCAATCGTTAAGAAGCTCCTATACGGGAAGCCGATCACTAGTGGATTCTAATTCACTGCTAGTCTGAGCTAACTGTGACTCTCGAATAAAAACAACCACTATAAAGTTCTAATTCTCATGCTAACTTGTGCTCATTCCATGACTACGCCTTTACAGGGCGGGCAAACGAGCAAGTTTAATCGCAGCTTATTGACAGAGCCTGTTTGACGGGTAGGAAAACCAGCTTCGTAGCACTTTTTCAAGTTCAATTTCAAAAAACCAGGTGTGCTTCCTTAACCAAGCGGTCTGATCTCCTCGTATTAGCGTTATGCACTCATCTCAAAATTGCACACGACATTTAAGGATTCTCAGGCTTGTGGAATAAAACCTCAAATCGAGAAGAGAGCTTTTCCTTACATGATAACTATGAAGATTAGATCCGCCACAAAATGATAAAAACTCCGTACATATAAGGCAGAAATCGTGGTACCAATGAAAAGGGTAGTGAATGGAAGCTTTTAGCATCTCTGCTTCAACAATATTGAAACAAAATAATACGAACGTTAATCAACTACCTTAACTTCTTCATCACTACTTTCGCTTTCATCGGAATTTTCATTTGAATTGCTACTGCTGTCAGCATCACTTGGTTTCTCTTCAGTAATGTTGCCGTCACCACCACTCATTTTCAGTCCTCAAAATTAAAAAAA